ACAGACCATAAACCGCTGACACAGATCCTACACCCGGAAAAGTCACTCCCGGTGCTCTGCATTAGTCGAATGGCCAACTACGCGGACTATTTGGCAAATTTCAACTTTGACGTGACTTTCAAAACGTCAAAAGCAAATGCGAACGCCGACTATTGTTCTCGGGTGCATGCAATGGTAACAGTTAGTACCATCTACTACAACTCGTCACGTAGGAGGGAGGAAGCAGAGAACTATGACGAGTTTGACCAATTTGTCGTACATCAAACTACACAGTTACCAGTCCGAGCAGAGACCATCGCACGGGAGACCCGGAGAGATCAACATCTTGGTAACATCACCAAACTATTGGAATCGGGGCAGGACCTTGTTCGTCATGGATTTAAAGCTCCAGAAGCTAAGTATACGCTCGCGGCAAATTGCTTATTATTTGAGCACCGAGTTGTTATACCGCCAATACTACGGGACGCTATCATCCAGGATCTGCATGCTGCCCACATCGGCATCGTCAAAATGAAAGGGCTGGCTCGCTCGTTTGTTTTTTGGCCAGGTATCGATGCAGACATCGAACGTGCCGCCAAGTCTTGCATTGAATGTGCTAGATATGCAAATGCACCACCCAAATTTAGAGAACACCACTGGGAGTATCCCAAGGCACCATGGGAAAGGATTCATGTTGATTATGCGGGCCCAGTAGCCGGAAAAATGCTTCTGATCATCGTAGACGCCTACAGCAAGTGGCTGGAAGTGAAGCCTACTAAGGTGACGACGGCAATCGCAACTGTCAATATCTTAGACGACATCTTTGCCATGTACGGAGTACCAGTTACCATTGTATCCGATAATGGAACACAATTCACATCAGATGAACTCAAAACTTTCCTCCAAAGATCGGGCGTAAAGTTCCACAAACTGACTGCTCCGTACCACCCATCAACGAATGGACAAGCCGAGCGATATGTACAAACGGTAAAGGATGCCCTTCGAGCTATGGAAACAACAGAGAGTACCTTACAAACAAATCTGAATGAGTTTCTCCGTCAGTATCGCAAAGCCCCACACGCCACCACAGGCCAATCCCCGGCACAACTTTTCCTAGGACGCAACCTGCGCACCCGCTTGGACTTGGTCCGACCAGAAGACACGCACACCAAAGTTATGCAGAAACAACGTGTCGAAATGGATTCTACATTTAGAATATTTCAGCCAGGACAATCCATTTATTTCTTGTCTGGCAACCCAAGGTTGGACAAATGGATTCCAGGTACTGTCATTACCCGCCTAGGAGATATCCATTACGAGATTCAGTATGGAGACAATAAAAAGGCGAAAAGACACATCGACCAAATTAGATGTTTCCCAGATCAAAAACCGCCAAGTGATCCTGAAGTTAACTCAAAACAACTAGAGACTACGCAACTACCAAGACGAGTACGCTTCTATGAGCTTACAGCACCTTCAAATAGTCCGGTTATAACAGCCTCCTCTGCAGCATCTCCTGGGGCACCAGCTGCTCCACTTACTCCGAGACAACAAAGGTCAGTTGTACCAGCGACACCAATTGTTCCAAAACAGCAAAGGATACCTGCGCCACATAATCCTCGCAGATCAAACCGGACGAGATTCCCACCATCCAGATTCTCGGCCAATTAATCACATACGCTTTAATTTTTAAAAGAGGGAAGAAATGTTGTGTATGTTTTTGAAAGAATATGACTGGACTATTAATTATTTAACGCGTTCAAAGAGTGCGAGTTGTCACACATGACATAGAGCATGGAACCAAACCCACAACCTATGTATGTTTTTGTTTTATCGTTGTTGTTAAGTTAGTTGTCTTTTTATGAATGAAAGAAAAGGTTCTGTCAAAAAAGGAGAATAAAGTTTCATATAATTTTATTGCGTTATTTATACACAAATATAAAAGTTACCTTTCAAAATGTTTTCTTGTTAAATAATTTAATCATGAATCGTTAGAAACCAACCCTCCAACTGCTGATTAGTTGCATCCGGTAAATATGGTAGGGATGATTGATTAGCGAATGGTGCCAAATTTCATTTTTTTTATTTTGCCGCAAATTATCGTAACGATTGTTTATTTTACTTCGGCTACTCTAGTCATTGGAATGACCAGCTGTCTTCTGTTTTCCGAATCATTATCGTTTTCAAGTACTCGCTTTAATAAGTTTTCTTTCAGAATAAAAGAGCCAAAATATGACTTAATTACTGAATATAGATTTGATACTTCTCTCCAAGTAGATTGACGATTTTCCTCTTTCCATTATCACATCTTTAAAACGAGATCGTTCTCTTGTCTCTAATTTTGATAGTGGCCCACTCATCGTTGACTACAGTTGTTCTCAGCAGTCCACTTTCTTTGGATTCTGCTTTGTTGCAGTGAGAGCACTCTGCAGGGCAAGATCATCTAAAAAGAGAATCAGAATTTCTGTGGCTTATTCCGGCTTGATGTTCGATTTTAAATTCGTATTCTTGAAGAAGTAGTTCAATCCATCTGGCGATTTAACCCTCCGGTTTTTTTAACTACATCAGCCACTTATCCTTGATCGGTACGGATTAAGAATTTCCTTCCATATAATTATTGGTAGAAGTGTTCCTTGTATTTCACAACTGCCAGGAGTTCTCTTCTCGTGACGCAGAAATTTCACTCAGGTTTCAAGAGTACTTCACTAAAATAACCTAGTACTTTTTCTCCTCTCTCCCCCTTGAATCTGTGACAGCACTCCTTCAATTCCCACATTACAGGCATTAGCATCCAGAATAAATTATCCCTCTGCTAGTGGGTAATCTAGTATTGGCGCTGTGGTTAAATGCTTCTTTAAAGTTTCAAAGGCAGTTTAGCAGTCTTCGTCCTAGTAGTTTTCTCTCATTTCTACTCTAAGTCGTGTTAATGGCTTAGCAATATCTGCGAATTTTTATATACATCTTCGGTAGTACGTACAGAGTCCAATAAAACTTCTTATTTGATGTTTATCAGTTGGTTGTGACCATTGTTTGATGTAAACGACTTTCTCCTTATCTACGCCATCCTTGTCGAATATACGGCCTAGGTAATTAATTTTATTTTAGCATCACTTGGGCAGCTTGAAGTCTTTTAAAAACATCTTCTAAGTTTTTAGATGTTCATCTTTTCCCCAAGACTATGATGTCTGAATACACTAGGCACGTTTTCAAGGATAATTCTCTCAATACATTTTCTATACGTCTTTCAAATATCGCGGGAGCAATTCATAGTCCAAATGGCAAGACATTGAACTCTCACTATCCAGATCCGTTGTTAAAAGTTGTATTTTCTTGTATACTGGGTCCATTTCCACCTGCCAGTATCAAGACTTCAAGTCTAAAGTAGAAAATAGTTGACTCTTTCTTAATAATATTGTTCTACTGACGATAATCCACTCATAACCTCCTTTTTCTGGACCAGGACTACCATGGAAACCCATGAACTGGTAGAAGGTTTTATCACCTCTCTCTTGGCCTTTGGTAATCTTCGAGCTGATTGACGAATTTGTCACCAGTTTTACATGTTTTACAACAGAAGTTTCCTCCTTTTGTTGCAAAAATGCTCGATGCCAGTCTAGAAGTTCTCGAAATCCTTCCTTCACGCGTCGGACTGCTTACCGAGAAAAAAATCCAGTCGGCTCTCGATCGCCAGCGCCAGACGCAACGGCAGCGACTTCGCACGACATTATATAACGAATGATAGACTTTCAATTTTAAAATAAAAGTTACATAACATAATACCAAGGGGGTTTAGAAATTTTGGTTTTAAGATTCTTTTATGGTCACCTAATGAAGTTTTTCCAGAAAATATCCCTTTTCTTTCCTATTTTTCTACAATATTGTTACAATAATTAATACTGTCATTGGTCATTGGATCTCAAACGTTTAATACATCTTTTTTCAAGAGTTAAATCATAAACTTTAAAACATCTTTTTACAAAGTAAACAGACATGTTTTCTTACCTTTCTATCTTTGACTTGTATGGCGCTGTAGAGACAATAGATGTTTTCATTCCAAGAGATATTGTCGTTGCAAGGTCATTGCAAAAGATTTCGCCATCTATCAGTTTACATAGCAAGTAATAGAAGCAGGATTTAATTTTAAAGGAAACTGTAAATTTGTCGTTTCGGCAATTTGGCTTCAGCATAAATTTCTTCTTTTCCCTTGTTTTCTAATGTATGGGTTCACTTTTTGTCTATCGACACAGTGTCAGTGTTTCGTTTTTACCCCATTTCCCCCAAAATTCCTACATTTACGAATGTAACAGCTGGCAATGTTGTTACGAGGATCATTTCCTAAAGGGTCAGTTGTTTGTTGGAATGCCTCTAACCTATTGCGCAAGACTGTTTTGTGTTCTGTTTGAACAAACCTATGGTTTTGCGTTCTGTTGGAACTAACCTATTATCATGTTTACATTTATTTATTAACATCTTCCTCAACGCTTCCAGACATACTAAACAATATCTCGCACCGACTAGCGATTTACACAAACTAGTTAGTCGTACGGCGGACTGATCGCTGGATCAGCCATCGAGGCAACAAACGCGAAACTTTACATTCGCGAGTGTTGCTTGGATGGAAGATACAAAGACCACTCTGTCTGTGGGATATACCAAAAAATACTAAAAAAACCTAAGACTTTATTAACGTACATACAAGGACAACCCTGTTTTTTCTAGCTTTTTCAGGAGACAAAAACCATAACTAAAACGCGACAAATCCCTACCCATTTCCCATTACTGATTCCAAAAAGAACCTAAATTCCTCAATAATACCGAAACGGTAAGGAGTGAGGGCTGAAGTATTTCCAATAGAAATCAAAAATTATTATAGGTGGACATGTCCTCCTCGGTCCACTGGACCCGCACGAAAGGATATTATCTCGGTAGTGTTGTATATACTAATTAGTTTTAACATTTAGATACATTTTTAATATGTAAATAAAATCTTCTAATGTAATGTAATTTATTTATTGTTGCAGAGGTCGCAAGTGTTGGGTAACAAAATAGAAATGGAAATCACACAATTGATCGAGAAGAACCCGACGATATTAAGGCTGGGTTTGCATTTAGAATACAATGATGCCCGGCATCGTATCGCGACCCATTTACAGAGAAACATTGACACAAGTAAGTCTTTAGCTTTTTTTTTTAATATAAGTTATCGAATTTTTTTATCTTATTGACGATTAATATATTTCAAATTTTCAGGATATAAAGGGTTTTTACTTTTAGTACGTTAATTTAATATTTGATAAATTGGTTAAAATCCGAAATATTGTTTCTAAATAAATACTAGTTTTTCGTTTAAATCAAATTATAACAGTTGATACCTTTACACCTTTACTCTTATACTTGACACCTTTTTACTGACATTTGACTTTTTATTAGTAACATTTGACAACTTTTTATTGACAACTCTTCACTGATTGTTCACATCTTGTGAAATGATTGTTGTTTTTTAATTTAAATCTAAACAACTTTTTCACTAAAAAATTTACAAATATTTAATTACTTATTTTTAAAAAATTATGACAGTTTTGACATTAAATATCTGATGGCATTTGACGTTGACAGCTGATATTTGACACATATCAGAGGTATTTGACATTAAACAATGTCATTAGTTTGTTACGATTGAAAATACTATTAACAATCTTGTAGAAAACTAAAAATTGCTTTCAACAATGACATTTTTTATAAAATATAGGTGTACGATTTTATTGTATAATCATTAAAAACCGTTCGAATTTATAATTGACAAAATTTCATGAAACATTTCAAAAATTAAATATTATTTTCGATGGAATTGTCTATTTTATAAGTTATGAATAGCAACCAAACATTTTTTTATTGTGAAACAAATTTTACTACAAAACGTTAACGAAATTATGACGTTGATTTTTTTATTCTATTGGTCAATTTTAGAACGTCGAACGATACGTGCGAACTATCAAATATTGTTAGGAAAAACAGGAAAAGCTATGAAAATCGTTCGTACCGATTAAACATTGTAGGTAGAACTGTGAGTACGGTGTTTGCGTGAAAAAAATTGGCTCAGTTAATTATACCACCACAATCTTCAAGTAATCTCTTAATTACAAAATAATTCACACATTGTGGAGTAACATGTAATTACTATGGGGAAATACAGTACATCTCATTTTGTAGAATGTGATACACATTTCTGGGTAATATGTGCCAACTGGAGGTAATATATCTCGCATTTTGCGGGGTAATAGCATTTTGTGGGGTAATAGACAGTATTTTGTTGAGTTTCAATAGTCGCATTTTTGTTGGGGACAATTCGTAAAATTTGTGTAATAATAAATCACATTTGCGAGGTAATAAATAACTTCGGCACATTTTAAAGAAATCGCATACAAAATGGCCGTTGGCACATTCATTTTACAATTAACGATAACATATTATGTTTAAGTAAAAACTCAAATTTTTGAAAATTAACAATATCCCGCATTTTGTGGGATAAGTCGCATTTTGTTGAATTTTATTAGTCGTGTTTTTGTAGGGAACAATTCGTAAAATTTTGTAGAGGTAATACATTACTCATTGTGTGATAAAAAATCCCATTTGCGAGGTAATAATATCGGCCAGATACAGAATTTAAAGAAATTGCATGAAGAAAATGTCTCTTTGACATATTTATTTTACAATTAGCAATAAAATATGTTTTTATAAATTAACAATCAAGTTGAAACTATGAAAATGTGCAATTATCCATCTACAGGGTGTTGAAATTTCAAGATTTTTATATTTTCTTTATAGTTCATGCAATTTTTGAGATATTTAGCTCAAATTTGAAATCTAGATTACGAAATAGCGCTGACATCATGGTTGCGCGAATCTACAAGGTGATCTCTTTCAGGGGTCATGTCCCCTTTTCTTTCCCTGTGAACTTTATTGAAAAAAAGAATTTTTATGCTTTGTTCTGATATTTTTTGGTCTCTTGTAGTTTTTTTTTTTCTATCTATGACCATTATTTCAGCCATTTTATAATTCGTAAAAAAATTTTTACACCTTACAATTTACAATTTAAACCTATAATTTATAAACAAATGCAGACTGAAGTTAAGACTTACAAATTAATAAAAACAAAGATTATCCACAATAAAACCAGAGCCTACTAGACCATTTTAAAAATTTTACTTTTATTTAACGGCTTATAGATTTTTTTTTTTTTTGAAAACGGATGCTTAAAAAAGTTTCTAAAAAAAACAGAAAATTCATTTTGTATTTTAGTATCTACCAGAGGCACCGCAAAAAAAATCAGGGAAGAAAACAGATCATGACCCCTGAAAAAATCACCTTGTATATTCTCACAACTGTTTGGCATGTCCAATGTTGTAAGCTTTATAGCGTAACCTAGTTTCCAAATTTAAGCTAAATGTTTCAAAAGACTGCATAAGTTATTAAGAAAAAACAAACCAGAAAACTTGAACTTTTAACACCCTGTAGATTGATAATGAAGCATTTTCTAACCTATGTTTATATGAATTTTTAGTCATGAAATAAGCCAAAGAATTACCCCCTCCATATGTACATGATATTTAGAAATACTCTGTATATTATTTTTTTAAAATAACAAGAATTTTGTATTATTCATAGTTTATTTTATGTTACAATTATAATAATTTTGATTATTCCTTGTATCTTTTTTAAATAATTATAATAATGGGTTGTTTAGAATAATGTTACAGTTGTATTCACAAAAAAGCATAAAAGTACACTAGTGGAAAAAATTAAGGGATCAAAAAAAAATCTCGATTTTTTCGATTTTTCGAGTGGCTGTATCTTTGATAAAAATGGTCGTACGTGAATGAAAAAAAAAGCAATTTGAAGATTGAAGTGTCTAGTTTAACGATCTTGCGATAAAAAAATTTTCCAATCAACAATTAGCACAAAATCCTGATGAATATCATGGATAGAAAATTTTTGAAATTTTTTTTTTCAATTTTTAGTGTACGGACTTGAAAAAAAAATTCTCGGCATAATCACTACATGCATTGGATAGGTGGTTCTGTTAGGTTCAATTTCTTTTTTTGATGGCCTCGAGATGACCCTTCCTTGCTGAATTATCAGAAAATGAACGAAAATGCGTCATTTCCTCTTCTCTCGTCAATATCAATATCTCAATGGCCGCTCAGAAAATGGAAGGGGGGTTTCGGAAACTTCGATTCATTCTCTACAAGGTTCTGGCATGTTCTTTTACGAGAAATTTTTTTTCATCCCTAGCATGACTTTAAAGAATTTCGGAAAACAGGTCTTTTTGAGGTTTTTTTAGAAAATCACGTGCCACATTCAGAATATTGGAAAAATGAATAATGTTGAGTGTGCATCTTACAGGCCATTGTTCCCCCGAAAGCCCTACAAAAATTCAACCTGATCCATCAAGCTGTTTCATGCTAGGGAATTTTTAAAGAAATTGAAGGATAGCGTTTTCTATCCATGATATTCATCAGGATTTTGTGCTAATTGTTGGTTGGAAATTTTTTTTATCGCAAGATCCATAAACTAGACACTTCAAGCTTCAAATTGTTTTTTTTTTTTCATTCATGTACGACCATTTTTACCAAAGATACAGCCACTCGAAAAATCGCTAAAATCGAGATTTTTTTATCCCTTAATTTTTTCCACTAGTGTAGGTATTAGAATGTGATAATACCATCCAGTTTTACACAGATTAGATCAATTTTACCTCACAGTCCAATACCTGTATGCATTTTTTATGTACTAGGTAGTAATAGAAGAAAAAATAAAAAATAACTTCTCTGGGACTAGAAGAAAGTAAAATTTAGTAAAATTACATATTACCAGTGTCATTCTAATACCTTGTAACCCTAATTTTTGCAAAAATAAGATTTTTTTCGTCAAATTATTGCAAATTTCCATACGCATCATTACAGAAAATCTCGTAACCGAGATATTAGAATGACACCAGTGATATATCATCCTGTATATTGTGTTACATTTTCAAACTACTGACTCCCCACAAGATTTATAGTGCTCTTGATCATTATCAAATTTTATTAATTCTGAAGCTGGCTTTTTATTCCACATACCTTGCACAGAGGACTGTTATTTTTAAATACCTTTGTACATACATTAAAAAAATCTTCGGAATGTATCGCAGATCATTTATTTATTTTTGTTTTGTCTACAAGGTTTACAACAAAAAGAACTTACATTAATATTAATTCAACATTATAGTTCACCATGATAGATATTCTTATAGTGGGTGGTATATATCAAAGGATGCCAATTTTTTTCACGGCTTACACATAGGTGTGTTCGTGGTTTAGGTGTATTTTTATTTTTTACTTGTGTAGGCATCCTACAGGGTGGATCGATAATCATTGTAAATTCACGTCCTTATCCCAAATCGCTTAGTTTTTTTTTTTGTACGATACGCTTATAAAGTGTGGAAATGCTCCATTTTCTTACGAATTAAATGTTTTCCGTTGATAAGGAATTTCAGATGTTTTCATGGCCTACTTGAGGGGTTTGAAAATATACTTCTGAGTAATTATTAGGTTTTCATTCCAATATAAATAATAAATGAGCATTGGTTTCCTTTATACTCAGTATATTGTAACTTAAAATAAAGTATGTGGTATCGTTAGCTTTAGCTCCGAAAATAATTAATTCGTAAGATAATGGAGCGTTTCCACACTTTATGAGTACACTGTATGTACCAGTTCTTGATTTTTACCAGTCACTTCATCGAAAATTATACAGGATGATACTTTGAAAAATGTACATACATTAGGGGTAAATAAGGGCTCTAAATATCCAATATTTAATGAGCCTGATTATTTATAACCGAGATACTTTGTTATTTGTCCATGTGGATCATTTTTGCTATCATTTATAACTTACGAATCACACTGTTTATCATAATTTCGAACCTGGATTTCAACTATTTTTTATGCGCTATTTGGGACCGTTAAGGACAAAAAACATGTAGTGAATATAAAAAAAATATACAGTGTGGTTTTTAAGTAATGAATGGATTGAAGAAATGAGTAAAATAAGAGTAATCATCCTGAATGTAAATATATGTTATTTATAAACACATCGGTGTCCCCTGGCTACCCCTAACGTATGCGCAT